TACTTTATGTAATTTTAATTTTCTTGTAGATTTATATACAGGAAATGGGGGGGAGTAAAATAAATTTGTTTAAGTAAACATAAGCAAAAATATCTTTATTATTTTTTCATAATTTTGTGATGCTTATCTAAGGCATTTGTATCAGTCATTGGCTTGCCAACTGCAGAAGGAAATCCCAAGTGGATGAAACCTATTTGAATACAGTTTTAAACATTATAATAATTGGCAGAGTAATTATTTTACACTGGAAGTACACTTTAATATTTTATATACTATCGTTGTTTAATCCATGCCATTTTGTTTTTTACAAAATGGGATTGCTACAGTACAATACAACTACTTGTATTGTAATCAGCAGCTGGAATTAACTGGAAAGACTAATTAAGCCCTACAAAATCAAAATATATGAAACTTGATATTTTTATACATATTTATTTATTTATGTATATATAATCTGCCATCTGAAAATAGTAGTCTTCTGGAGTTATTTTCCATGTCTGTAATTGACCACATCAGACAAGAGGCCTAGAGAATTAAGCTCCTGATAAATTATTCTGTTATGCTATACTGACTGTTTTGATTATTTCTAGCATCAGTTCCTGCCTCTTGGCCTCTTAATTCTCTTTTTCTGTCCTCTCTTTCAGTTTAAAGGGTAAAATGCAAATAGCCTTATTGTAGAGGATTTAAAGTTAGAGGGAATGCTGTGAGGTGCTGTGCTGATATCCTAGCATTGCTTAAGGGTCTTGTAAAAGTGCAAAACCATAATATAGGAAAGTCCTTGAGACTGTAATTCCATTAATCTCACTGAGCATTGCAATTTATTATTCTTTCACTGGTAAAGACAGATTAGAATCAGGTTTCCGTTATTTCTCAGCGTGACTCAAGATTGTTTTTTAATAGCAATGTTAATGCAAAAAGAAACCTATATAAGAAAATAACTGAAGTAGCTGTATAGTTTAGGAAAAAATTTAAATGTCTGTAGCAATATCTGAGTACACTTAAATTAAGCACAGTGATAACAGCAGTGTCCTTTCAAGCTCACAGATCCATATTCAATAAGTAGCTCCTTCCACCCATCCACAGGCGCAGAATTGTCATCTGTACCAAGGTGCTGCTAAAATGGTAGCTTTAACTTTTGGTTATTTATTTGGTGCTGAAAACTCCTGTGACACACAGCCCCCATCATGACTCTCAGAAGCTTCACAGAATTTTTCAGCACTTTCTGATGTAATGCTGCATCACAGTAACTGCTGGCGTTACGGACCAGATCCACCTGGAGCTCACTGTCCAGCCTGTGTAAATAAACATTTAGCAACATCACGGGGTAGCAGCAAGGACAGAAATGAGTGCACAGGCAGAGGATCGGGGGATTCTTAGAATCAGCTGGCTCTGTGGTAAGTGGTGTGGTTCTTATCTGTTGAGTTTCATGGATGAGAAAAGCAAACCAATTCTGCTTTAAATTAAAGCCTGATTAATTGCTATATTTGTTTTAACCATAAATACATAGAGGTGCTCCAAATTTCATTTTAAAATAGTTTGCTTTAAAAAAAATCCATCTGAAATCTTTTTCTCTGGCACGATCTCACGATCACCCTAGGGGAGGGAGGACTTTGGGTTTGCAGTCACATCACATTTAGGTTTAAAATGAAACCCGGCTGAGCTTACAGAGCTGTCTGCTCACTCTGGTCCGACACACTCCATGGATTGCTGTTACCGTGCGGGCCCGGAGAGCGCCGTGGTGCCCCCGGCCCTGTGCCCTGTGCCCTGTGCCTGTGCCGGGGCACGGCCGGGCCCTTTGTTCTGCGCCGGGATCCCCGCATCCTGCCTGCAGTTTCCCGCAGTTCCAGTAGATGCCCCCAGAGACCATTAAACCCGCTCCGAGCCCAGCAAAGGGCCGGCAGTCTGCTCTCATTTCGCTCCTGGAAGTAACATAATTGTTCAAAGGAAACCTCAAGTCAGCGCGGACGGATGCGGAAAAACAAACTCGCTTGTTTAACCATAAATCATCATTTATTAGGTAGCAAGGTTCAAAAGTGTTTAGTGTAAGGTTGCTTATCAATGTAGAAACATACTACGCTAATGCTAACAGTGGGATTTTATAAAATAAATCACAGAATCATAGAAAATCCTAAGTTGAAAGGAACCTTAGGTATGATGGTTTTTTATATTTATATTAGAAATTAGTAATCTTTAGTTAACTCAAAACATGAGTTGTTCTGCTTAACCTCAGATTTCACATGATGCATGACATTGTAAAAAGCAGGATGGAAAGTGTTTTGGGGATTGAATATAGTTTGATTCAATCAATAGGATTGAATATGATATAGTTTACCTCAAGGTAACTTGAAAAGTTTACTGCTCTCACCTACACCACACCTCTTTTCAAAAGAAGTGTTTAATGCAGGGGGGAAAAGGACCCTGGAATTTTCCTCTAGAAACACTTTGATAACTGTAATTATTTTAGATTTCATTGCAGTGACAAGCTCTTTTACATGGGGATAAATACCATTTATCTCCATAATACCATTAATCTCTTGCCCAATTTTACTGTTTGTGTGTGATCAGTCGTTTGTAGCTTATATATTACAGAAACTTAAGGAAACAATAGTATTATTATTGTGTGCTTTGTGCATTAAAACTGACATGACTTTTATTTTTATGCTACTAAATTTGAAGGGTTTTACAGTAGATAGCTTCATTGCTTGTGTGCTAAAATCATTCCTCTTTGCCTTAGAAAAATGTGCTCTGCACAGTAGGATTACCTCAGCATTATTTCAATTTCTCCATTAATTGAGATGGGATTTATTAAAACACTCTTGACACTGTTTTTTTTAAATTACATCTTTTACAATATGCTTTGTTTCCCTGTACTGGTTTGCTAATAATGCTTTCTTGTGGGGAAAATGGCTTTGACTTCAAGTAAAATACATCAGTCTACAGAAAATAACATGGACACAGTTTTTCTATTTGTAGGAATACCAGTCCTGTGCCCAGTTAGTGTTAAAAATTACCTGAGTGACATTTTGGGTAGTGACTGCTGAGACCTTTTAGCAGTACTTCCTTGTTTACTTCCAATACATCTCCTGATCTACACACACAAACATATATAGGTCCCATTGTATAAATAAACAAGCATGTGTGTGCCTGCTATGCAGATTGTTATTCCACTTCTCTGAGTTAAATTACTGTAGGATTCGGTCCTAGGCCTTTGGAAGTTGGTAGGAATTTTTTACCTATGCTCTTCAGGGTTTCTTTTAATTACATAGAATTTTTAAATAGTAAAGAAATAGGTATTCCATATTAAGAAATAGAGAATACATTGCATGTATTACCATAGTATAGCGTAGTATCTTTACAGTATTTTGAAGCTATATACTGTACATTTGGTATATGTCAAATATAGTATATTCTAGCAAATGAAAACTTAAATGTTTAAACATATTTCTCATATGCTTTTATAAGATAAATGTTGCAAATTTTTATGGTGCAGAATAGTTATATCTTTTTACTTATCTGTATGAGAAATGTGTGATTTTCAATCTCAAAAAAACATCCATTTATATATTAAACACAAATTCAGTACTGTCTGGTCTAAATTATATCAGGATGATTTAATACTTTTATGCTCAGTTCTGCAACTGAAAAAGTACATGTGAAGGATTAATGTGCATTTGTGTAGTAAGAGATTTTATTTTAATTATGTCAAATATGAAATAATGCAGATTATTTGCTTCCTACATCTTACATTGCTGTCTATTTTGTTGACATCTAGCTAAGAAGTTTTTCACATCACTTCCATTGTATCAATATTGGTAAAGAATTGCAGTAGCTCTTTTTAAGATCAAATTATTAGTGTCATTGAGCTGTTATTATTACACCTGAATTTATTACATACACTATAAATCTCATTTTTCAGAATTCCATATTTATTTCAAAGCCAAGGTAATTTGAATTTACATAGATTTTAATCTAAAAGGACAGTCTTGAAAACAGTTTGGTAACTTCATGGAATATACAAGATAAAGGTAACACATCTGTGTCCTTGCCATTTTACTGGGGTAAAGGTTGGTTTTCCGAGAGTGCACAACTATCCCTGCAAGCCATCTGTACCTTTGTGTTGCAGTCCCATTGGACTCAGAGTTTTCTCCAGAATAGGACACAATATGATTGTTTCACGCCAGATAAAATAAATATTTTTATTATTTCCATTAACTAATACCTCCAAAGGTGTATTACCACTTAAGAATATTTGATTCCACAACTTTTTCATACATATATCTTACTACAGTTTATGAAGGTACTAACTTCAATAAAAATTCATCTTAGCATCATTTGTTTGTAAAATTAGGGAGAAATTATCAAATTTTGCATCACTAAACCAGCTGAAGTTATATGCTAAATGGAAGGAAAATAATATTTAATGATTCTGGCATATCATATGTTTCTGGCATAGCATTTGTTTGACCTTTTTAAACCAAGCCATCCTGTCCTACAGCAAAACTATTTTATGTATATATATGTAAATATATACATATAAAAAATTGCAGTATATGTATAGCATATAATAACAGTGTTATATATAACAACATATATGTTGTTTTAACACGAGCCTCAGATTTTCCCTGTGCACTGTCTTAAAGCAAACTAAGGGTTCATTGTGTTTTCATGGACTAATGTAAACATGGCAGGGGGGGAGTTCCCATCAGTCAGCCTTTTCTACCATATACCAACTAAAGAATACCACTATATTTTTGACTGTGTTTTCAATGTATATATTGGTATGTATTGATTATTGCTATGTTTGCTTCCATAGGGTATGGCATTTGCAAGCAGATTTTAGCAGCAGATCTCTTTTTGAGTGGGGGAAATAATACCCACTCCCTGCTGCTGAACTGCAGAGGTCTCTTCCTGAAAGCTGTTGTAGTTATCTGCACTTATTTGGTAAGGTGGAGAACAGAATACAGGTTTAAAGGCTTAAAATCTTCCTTTCTTATTCCCAGTTACAGGAATTCATACAAGAAGAACATCTGCATAGACATGCTGTGCCGGGGTTATCACAAGTCCTTCTCTGAGCTCCTCACTCTGATCCAGAAGTGGAATGCCTTCAGGGAGGCTGCAGGGCTTGGGTCAGCCATATGGCATGAGAAGTCCCTGGAGGAGCAGCCTGATAAGCTGGATCAGCTTTACCACTTCCTGACCGGGGCTGAGGCAGCCCAGCGGGCAGGTAAATGGGGGGATTGTGGGTAGCGGAGCAGCGGGAGCCGCAGCCACCAGTGCCTGGGGGAAGCTTCCAAATTGTTTCATGTATGAATTTGAAACGCTACTGCATCTTAGCACATTGCAGCCTTAGTCAACTGAGCTGTATTTATAGAATAAATGATAAGGAGCTGCAGATACCAGGAGAGGTTTTGTGAAGGAAAGGAAAAAAAGATGTAGAGTGCATTTTGATAACATCAGAAATGTTTGATGTATTTATAGCTTTGATAACATCTCAATTATTTTCCCACAGTTTCATTATTTATTGCTTTTCTTCCTCTATTGATTTGAGTAGCTGGTTTTGTATTAGAAGAATTTAATAGGTGAAATGCTGTTTCACACAGTAATAGTTTTATAATTCTGTTTTTATTAAATACCCTGCTAACTGTGTTTGGATTTGTGACTGACTTAAAAAGGATTGTGAACATGTCAAATAAAACACAGCACACAGATGTAACATGCCACCTGTGAATTACTAGATATTAGTGAAGACATAACTCCAAATTACTGTATTTTCTCTATTGCCTACTATTTACTAAACACTCATATTTATCATTTTCTTTTACTATAAATAGTAACGTAACTTACTCCATCTTTCTCCATTGGAATAATTGCAGGGATGGGGGCAGACAAAGCTCTACCTACAATCTTGTTTCATAGCTGAGTTGATATCAGTGTAGTTGTCTTGTTTCAAGTTGCATTTTGATCATTACAAATACGAAAACCTACAGTTAAGCTTATGAGTTTGGAATCTAAGCTTTTCGACTGAAATTTAGAAACAGGCAACTTCATTTCAGAAAAAGGAACAGCAAAATAAACCCTTTTGGCCCTGCAAAAAAATGTTAAGTGTTTATTTGATGCTTGCCATGAAAGCCAAAAGTTGTGTTTATTTAATTCACTGTAATTCTTGACAGAAGGTCCAGCCAGCCATAATTGGAAGGAATCTTTAGCTTTGCCTGGGGTATGACTAAGACTTGAATAGGCACCCCTGTATCTTGCAGAATATGAGAGAGAGGTGTGGAGCTTGGAGTGGCCTGGCAGAAGCATTCTGCTAATATCTGATGGTCAAAAAATACTAGACATGGCTTATCTCAGTGGGCCTGCGCCCTGCAGCCACTTGAGGAGAAGAGTTTGCCTGCCCTCAGTGCATGATATTTTTCAGTGTTACAGCACTGTGTGACAACAGAGGTGGCAAACATGCTCCCAGAGAGGCAAGGTATTGCCAAATGTGTAGTTCCTGCCTTTCTCTTATTGAACCTGGCATTTCTTGTGTGCTGGGCTCTGTAAGTCTTTCGCCTCTCCCAGAGACAAGGTACCACCACCAGCTGCTTGATTGCACTTTGCCTCTAGGAGAGAGTATCTCCCAACTTTGCCTGTTGATTAAAATGAAAAAAGAAAAATATAATGAGGACCTAAGAGTTGGCAAGCGTTGTTACTGAATTTCTAGATCAGAGCATAAATTGTTTTGATTTTTTTTCACTGGTATCAATGCAGATCTTTGCACAAATGTCTTGTTTGTATAAAATGAGGTTTGAGTTGCCTGGCACATGAAGGAGTGGATGGTAGTTCCTGTTGCAGGTCTGAGAGCCAGCAGTGCTGTGAAGATTCACATAAATTGTGCAGCTCATCAAACACTAATTCAGTAGTTCTGCTAATCCAGTTACTCTCTGATTCTAATCAAATTGCTTGGGGCTCTGGCTTATGATCTCCTGACAACTCCAGTTGACACCACTTAAGAATCATCAGCAGTTCAGCTCAGCTAGAACTTACCATGATGTAGCAGCCACAACAGCAGCTGACCTGCATTTGCTCTTCAGCTGCCACAGTTCAAGCTTAAAAGAGTGAAGGTAATATTTGGGTCAGCAAATGGTGAGTTTCATAGCATGGTTGATGTTGCTAATATTAGGGTGGCTGAGATTTTACCTATCTTAGGTAACAATTGTGCTGAAAAAGAGAGTGCAGCTATACATGATGACCATAAGAATTTATTACTTGTAAGTTTTTTTTATTAATTGAAATATCACAAAATGTTGGGGTTTGAGACTGGAGTGGCACATGGAAAACAAAACACTTACTTTGTCAGTATATAATTTTTTACTTGTTATTTAATTTTTATCATCTGTTATTTTTGGATCATAGGGTATTGCTGTCTTAATTTTGAATATAACTTAGAACTTCTAATTTTAGAGTTTTATGGTACTTACCATAGTGTACAGAGCAAGCTATATGCACATTCAGGTTTCATATTTATTGGTGGAAAATGTTAATATTGTAATGGTTTCCACAGTCTGTAGTTCTAGGACAGTACAATGCTGAATATAAATTATTGGCCTGAACTGAATTGGAGCCATCCACCACAATGTGCAGGCTGATATCAAGGAGCAATTACTTTTTTTACTGCTGGGTTTGAAAATAAAAACATTTTGTTTACCAGCATTACACTGTACAGACTGATTGCCTTTGCACATGCCAGTAAAAGTTCTCTCTGTTTTCATTTTTAATAGAATATATTGGTTGAACTTCAAATTGTACAGGAGTTGTCTTCTTTTTTTTTTTTTTTTTTTTTTTTAATTGCCTGTTGCCAGCACTATACTGTGTGCAAAGAAAACAGCTTTTCTGGCCAACTTAAACTCATTTTTGTTGCATTTGAATATCTCCCAAGTATTTAAAAAATAGAGAGGGAGCTTTAATCTGTGCAGCTTCTCAGAAAAATGATGGATGGAGTTATTCTGCCCCAAGTTCAGCATTATTCTAAAAACACTGGCAGGAATATTGTCAATGCTTGACTATATTTTTATCTTGCCTTCTTTATACAAGTAAAGTAAAAGTTTCTGACTTCCAAATCGAGTGAGTTTTAATTGTTCTTTGATGTTCCTTTATCCTGGACTAAACTCTTTCTAAACTAGTTCTAGTTTCAGGAGCTTAGGGAAAAAAATAAGGAGGTAGTTGAGCTATTTACATATGTATAGTTCTAGGGCTTTTTACAGAAGAATGCAGGATAAATGACAGAGTAATGGATCTACACAGCTCAGTATTTGATGTGTACCGCGATTTCTTGGCACATATATGGAAATACTGGGGCTTCCTTCAAAAGACAAGCTATATTTTGTATTTATCAGTACTGATAGCAGTCTATCAGTATAGAATGAGTTGATTTGCTTGTAGATGTTGGGAGGAATGGAAAGCAAGTTCCAGCTCAATAACAGATGTCCCAGCTTTTAACTCTGCTTTGCCAGAGCAGGAATGCAAAACCAGGGGAAGTGCCACAGTTCAGTGGCTGCAACATGTGCTGGGCACTCAGCACTGTAGTGGCAGATAACTGTGCCAAGCCAGAAGGTGGAATCCTTGGATATGAACATGCCTTTAGAAGGGCAAGACACTGCTTATTAACTGAACACTGGAGCAGCTGCTGGAAACTGGGAGTTAAAACCTGGGAGCTGCTGCCTTTTTCAGATTCCACCTGCTCCTGGTTCCTGACCCTGCTCAACCTTTGTGCTGTGCTGTGTGCTAAATGCTGAATCTGTGCACATGCTGCGGGCTGCTGATCTTTATTCTAGACAGTACCAGACATACACAATGAGAAAGAAGTGGCAACTTGGCTTTCTTTCCCTCACTTCAGCATAGAAAAAATTTTGACAGTATGAGTTATCATTAGTTTTTGTTGTAAAAGATGTCTTTTTGTAAAGTATATGAAGAAAGCATGAGTATATGATGTGCATGAGCTGTAAAATCTTTGTCCAGTATACTCAAGGTTGAAAACAGTTTAGCATTTTACAGTAGAAAGTTTTTCTGTAAGGCTTCACCTTATGCTTTAGGCTTGGGCTAGAAACATTGCAATAACCATATTGCCCATGCTATTTTGAGAAAAAAAAATATGGTAAGAGGTTATGCATTAAAAGAAGAAAGTATAACAAACCATCTTTTAATATTTGCTTGGATGAGGCATAGTTTTGTTTGCTTTTGAGGGGCTGGGCAAGGGAACATTGTTTTATTTTCTAAGCAGGTTTGTTGCTCCCTACTTAATATTTTATCAGAGGAAAAAATGCAGCAGTTGCTGGAGACCAGTGGAGAATTTTATTGGTTTTGCGGTTATCTTACAAAAAGTTGAAGCGATTCTGTCCAGGAAATAAACCAAACCATCTCAAAATACAGCCACTTGTAGAACTACCATTGACTTTGACAGAAGCAGCACTTTTTAGAAAATTTCTATACTATGTTTTTGTTGCAACAGGTTGGAGTTCCCTTTTAGCATTCCAGATTACCAATTAATTGCCTCATATTATTATCATTAGCTGGTTTTATCCTTTACCCAGTAAAATTATACCCTGACTATTTCCTTAGTATTTTTTTAAGAGAGTCTGCATTGATTAAGCATTTTCCCTTTATGTACCTGGAAGTGTTGGTATGCTCTGTGTACACTCTAGGAAACAGTCTCTTCCTGAAACTTGGTGTCATCATACTCACAACTCACATTTTCACTTTCTTCATTTGTGGACTTACAGCTAAACATTCAGGAAAAATGTTTATCCATTTATGAGTAAACTCTCTGGAAAAAGGAGTGATGGAGGAGTCTTCTACCTATAGATGTAGAGGCATCCTTTTTCTGAACAAGCAAGAGGGACTAATTCTTTGCCATGTATACGTCCAGGTGGAAATAACTGATTGCAGCATCATATTCAAAAGCAGTTTGTGCTTCTTGGTCCAACGTCTTCCATCCTAGATCTTTCTCTGTATTAATTCTTCACAGCATCAACTGTCTTGCTAATAAGTCACTGATTTTTATCTTTCTGGCAAAAGAAAAATTAGTCTTCCAGCACTGTGTCTCATTCTGACATAAAAAATTCCTCCTGGTGACTTATTTGACCTTAGGCCAGGTCTTTACGTGCCTTCAAGAGTGAAGGGTCAGTTATAATCCAGTCATACACTTTAAACAGCTAACTGGAGCATAAGTGGTAACACCTGTTGAAAAGTTTCCATTGCCTTTGGCCTTTGTCTGGCAGGAACAAAGGACTGACTGGTGGCTTTTTGTGTGGGAAATACTGAGTCATAGCTGGATGTTGAAAAATTTCTTTCTGATACCTGTAGTTTAAAAATCAGTACAAGTTCTTGTCAATGGAAAATGGAACACCTGCCTCTCTTATTCTTCAAAGGAAATACCAAGGCAGGATCGCTTCCTGATGTTTCCACCTGTTCTCTAAAGACCATTCCTGGACTTCTTTTCCTTTCTTCCACTGAATCCTGTCACAAAGGAGATCATAGAGATATGGCAGCAAGTTGTGCTTGAGTCACACTAGGATGGCTTTCTGTGTGTTTCTTTTCTCTTATTTTAGCCTTTTGGGGTTCTCAAATTGCACCTCACTACCCCTTGCATTGCACTACTTAGTAGTTTTCTAGCTGAGCACAGCAAACATGCAGATACGGATTTGAGTGATCCTCTGTTCCATGCAGAACCTTGCTTGCTAAGGGAGCAGTCTTGAGAAGAGATCAGAGTCTATGGCTTGGGCATGAGAGGATATGCTACTTGGCAGCTGAGGTGCACCTAAAGAGATCCTGATACACAGCAGGGTAATGTGTGTTTAATATATGGGGTTTAATGATTAAGCTCAAGTTGAAGATTTTTGGGGTTTTCTTTTAATCTCTGTTTAACAGAAAGATCTCATTAAGGTTTGATAGGCCAACTCTCCTTTTGTACATAAATACTCAATTAGGGAGTTGTTTTTCATTTTTTTGATCAACAGATACCTAAAGATGACTTGTCTATATGTATTTTATAATCAGTTGTGGAGAACTGACTCTACAAAATCAGAGAGTTCAAAGTTTTAATATCTCAACTACTTGGAGATTTTAGAGAAGAGAGTATTTACCTATTCCTATATTCCTCTCCTGGGATGTAAATGTTCACTTTCACTAAGTCTCACACACTAGCTTTTCCACTGTCAGAGTAACGTTTATTAACTTCTTGATCAGTAACTCAGACTTTGGATCCAAATCTAAATGACTTTTAAAAGTCTGGGGTTTGTTGGTTTGTTTTATGGTCTGCATATCTGGTCAGCCACTGCCCAAGACAATGCCAGAGACGTGGTTGTCTTTGTGCACTTCTCATTGTTATGCACCAGCAGGATCATCATCACAGGGTCACATTAAAGTTCATTCAATCAAAGCCCTGGCAGTAGCAGGAGTCTGCCTCAGGTCACTTCCATCCCTTGGGATTTGTAGGGCACTACCTGAAGTTATTTGCATAATTTTATGTCACCTAAGTGCCTTGATACTTTGTAGCAAGGATTTCAGAGAAGCAAATCTGTATCCAGTGTGTCTGTGTCCAATGATGATCTTCTCTTTCTGGCATATTGCAACTATTTTTGTGCATCCTCTGGTATCTTTGAGTTCATTTTCACTTAGCTGTGATCTGTATGTAATGTGTGTTGTTATCTTTATGTTAGTGGTTATTATTAGGTTTCATATTTTGCTGCTCATGTGGTTGTGTGCTTGTAGTCATGGGAAGCTTTGCCTCTACTTCTGAGATAATCTCTAAAAACATTCCCTTGTGCTGCAAGCATTGCTCAAGTCAGAATGAGATAAATCTCAGCCAAGAAATATCTGCTTTTCTTCACTGAGAGGAAAGGAATCTTAGGTAAATCCTATCCATATCTAAATTGGTTAGTTTGGGTGAATCCCAAATGGGCCTTAACTTTATCTCTGTGTGTTGTCCTGGTTTTGGCTAGGATAGAATTCTATTTTCTTCTTAGTAGCTGGTACAGTACAGTGTCTCAGATTTAGTATAATGTTGATATGTGTGATAGATAATGATGTTGTATAGATTTATAAATATGTTATAAACATCTACAAATACAGGCATGTATGTATATGTGTGCGTGTGTGTGTATACATATACTAAACCAAATCCAGTTTTGTTATTTCTGTTCCAGAATCATTTGATGAGATTTTTATGAGGCTATTGTACCAGAATAGTCATAATTTCTAATGTATAAATATGTTTTATATTATGTAGACTCCAGGATATTCTGAAAAAGAGGTACCTCTTCTGAGAAGAGGTGCTTTTTCAGTCCTGAGGAGAAACAAAAGGCATGAAAACTCACAGCCATGAAGAATATTCAGATTGGGAATACGTGAAGTTTGTATATTAATAATTATTCCTCTCAAAGCTGAATTTTGAAACTTAAGCTGAAATTTTGGTTTAAAACCTTAGATGCAAATGATGAGGTGATAATCTAAATATAATTTCTGAGCGATTTCTTTTTTCGTAATTTTAAAGAGACTGTGAACCGCTTATTTCTTGGAAGTGATGTTATCTCTTTTAAAATACTATAAATAGAAATGTATATAACACTCATTGTTTCAAAATCATAATTTTATATATTTTAATGGGAATTGTTAGAAAGGTAGAAATCTGAGGTTAGAACTTCATGGAAGGCGAAATTCTGAGAAAATAAATAAGAAAGCAAAATAATAAATAAAATAACACAGGCAATACGAAAAAGTATTATTTACCATTAGAGTAATTAATTTTTAAATCAAAAGATGAAAAGAGTGTTGAAGAATGGGGGAAATTTCAGTTTGATTTTAAAAAACTTAAAGCAGGAAGAATGCAGACAATTTCAGTTCTCTGAAATGACCAAGATGGAGAAAAAAGGAGAAACAAGTAGTAGGTGAACATCTTGAAGACCGCAGACATATATAGGTGGTAACCCTTTCTCTCAAAAGAATAAAGTCCTTGCTGTGTTGTGCAACACACTGAAGAACTTTATTAAGATATTCTGAAGTCAAATAACAGTCGTGACAACAGAAAGAATGAGATATTTATATTTCTTCAATTAAATCATATGTCATGTGTAATTTTGAGACAGAACATACTAGAGATGAGGCTGGCAAATCCCTCGTGTGGTTTAGTGATGAATTTAAAGTACTTGTTGGAGTAATTGCTGCTGTGTGTTCCAAATAGTGCAAGTGACTTGCATAGGTGGTGCAATTTAGAGTCATTAAGCTTATCCTTTTGGAAGTTGAATTTCCCCCAGTTCTTCTTGTGGATAACAGAAGAGAATTTGACTGCATCTTTTGATTGAAGTGTTTTGATATGGTTATCATAGTTTTAAAACACTTAGGAAAGATCTGGACTTTGAGATCTTGCCTACACTGAAAAGATTTCTTTTTTCCTAGTTGATTTCTGTGTGATGTTCCATACCCAGAATTAAGAGGGGTTTTTCTTTTGTTCATTTTCACTCTTTTTGAGTGAAGCTTACAAATTGCAGCATTCCCAAAAACAAAGCAGTTCTGTTCACACATCCAGCTTAACCAAAAAGTCTCTTACCTGCTGCCAGACCTGTGCTTCTTAACTCCTTCTTTATCCAAATATGAGGACATTCCTTTTAGAGCTGGCTGTTTGGCTCACATTCATTTAACGGCCACAAACACACTAAATAGCCCACTAAAACTGCAATGGAATTTTAGCTAATTATTCAATTTCACATCTGGCAGGAGTAGAGTTTGCACAGAAAATTAATTTATATTAGCCATGAAACATATAGGTTAATGTTCTACTTTATTATCTCATAGATTTTTTTAGCATCATATAAGAAATAGGTATTTCAAATTCACTTGAGGAAGGAACAGTATTATAAGATTTGTCAGGAAAGTTTTAGATTTCTACTCCAAATTAGTAAAGTTTTGGAATAATTCAAGGCTGATATCTTGTGGGGATTTTTTTAAAGGTCTTTTTCCAAGAGAAAGAAATTGTTATTCTGTAACTTTAAATTGTGGATAATATTGTATTGCTGCTTAGATTTAGGACTTGGAGGGTTTTTTTTAATGTTAGGGATAATGTTTGTTCATTCAGCTTTCTGAAATGATAGAATAGAATCCAAACTTCAGGCCATGGAGAAAATCTGTGACTTAGAGTCTCCACTGCTTTCTGCATTTGTTCTGAGAACAATTCCTTGGTGAAACGGGGGGGGGGGGGGGAGTCGTATGAAAATAGGTGCAATTTCAGTTTGTCTTTAATTTCTAAGAGTGCTAGGTACAAAACATGGGAATAGGCATGAAAACTCAAAGCCTCTCTTGTAAGTCATACTTTGAACATGTAAAATTATATGAATTAACATACTGTGTTTGCAGAGTGTTCTTTTTGGTTCTTAATCTTCATCAACACAGTTGTCACTTTAGGTGTCCAAGGTTTGAAACTTAAGGTTTGGAGAGCTCTTGGGCCTTTTCAAGGCCCAGAGGCTCAGACAAATGCTTCTCCAGTCTCACTCTGACTTCTCTTTTGACTAGCCAGTGTTTTATCCAGGTTCCATGTGTTTTATTGAACTGAATTTTGATTTTGCACACAGAAATGAGAAGAAAAATATGTTTCCAATTGTGCCTAATTTGTAAGGTTATAATTTTCCTCTTCAATTTCTCTGAGCGAGCACATAGCAGAACTTGATGGCATTTGAATGGTGGAGATATAAATAGCTCTTAATTTTCATTATGATTATTGCTATAACATGCAAAATTTCTGAACACTGATGATAATATGACAATTTTCATTTTGATTTTTGTTTTTTTTAAAGGGCACTATGAGAAGGTGTATGATAACCAGCTTAGCTTGGCCTGCTTTTTCAATGACCCTGAGGACAAATGGTTAAGTAACTACTTTTATGAGCAAAGCTATAACACTGCTCAATTAGTAGAAATTGATGGTGGGAAGAGAAAGGCACAAGCATATGTAAACATGGGCCTCGTCAAAGAGGAAGAAGGTAAGGCACTGGCATCACAAATCTGCTTTGGATGGCATATGTAGTTACACAAACTGGGCTGAATTCAAAGAGCTGTGGACATGCAGTTCTGTAATGTTTAATCCTGCTTCCAATTTGCACTTAGATAAACATCCTGTATTTTTGTTCTTTTTAAAATGACTTTCTGATTCTCTTGACCATGAGTGACACCCTCTTTCTTTGTTCCTGACTGTCACATTGGTGTTTGCTTCAGACTTAGACCTCACCACCAACTCCTTTTCTGCATGTGCATCCTTACACTGTGAGTCTCTGAAATCAGAAGATATTAATAGAAATAACTAGAATCATAGAGCAGCCCAGGCTCTAAGGGACCTTGACAGATCATCTGATCCAGTCTTTCATGGGAAAGGGAGCCTAAATGAGATAATTTTAGCACCCTGTCAATTGCATCTTAAAAACCTCCAGTGATGGGGACTCTACCACATCCCTGGGGAGACTGTTGCAATGAACAGTTATTCTCACTGTAAACAATATTGCTTTCTTATATCAAGGTGAACCTTGTTTCTGTATTTAAGAGCAGATATTACCTTTCATGGCAGAGGGGTTTGTGTGTGCATAGCAGTCTGAGTATAAAAAAGGCATTTTCCTCTGCTTAAAATCCTTTAGTGATGTAGGAGGGCAAGCAATAAGTAAGCCTCAATTAATTGAATAAAGCCTGTCTTCCAGTTCTAATTTGTAAGTGTCCTGCATGCCTAATTATTGCTTAAAATATGTGATTTCTGTAGCCACTATGGTTTTGTTTCTAAATTTGACTGTGGGTTGAAACAATTCCAACACTGAACTCAACTTGTGGCTGGTTTCTCATATAAAGTGACTTCTTTTAAAAAAAAAAAATTGACAGAAATTGAAATATTTTGTGGAAATAGTCTAATTCCATTAAATGTCTGGTGGAATGGATGTGTTTTGAAAGCTGGCCCCATTTCCCAGCAAAAGCCTGGACATAAAACAAAAAGTCTACAGCCTTTTTTTTTAATTTTTATTGAAAGGGTGTTTTCTGATTTTTTTTCCTCTTGTTCTCTTACAGCTGACACATGACATCTTTTTTTTTATATTTCCTCACATCTTTCTAGCCTGATGGTCATTTACACTGTTTTCCTGTGAACTGTTGCCTTATCTTTCTTGCCTGCAGCACCCAGACCTGGATTCAGTTTTAAAATTTGAGCATGTACCAACAAGTAGTAAAATGGAAGGATTACTTTTCCTATACATGGTATCATCCAGTTTCCCAGTTGGTAAGATAGCAATTGCTTAAAGCCCAGCCAGTCACAACCGTATGATTTTCATTTTGAATGAAAAATGCTTAGGTTGGTTATCGATCTCTTACTCAGTAGAATAAAAGTACTAGATTTTAATTTTTTTTTTTTTTGCAGCCTTTTTACTTGGTCTTTTAGTTACTAAAAAAAAAAATTAAGAAGCTGCAGACAAGCAAACATTTATATCTACTTGTAACTTCAAAGGCTCTTACTTAGTGTGACTCACTGCTGTTACCCAAGCACTGCCTAAAAAAAAAGAACATAGCATTTTCTACTTTTATGATGTCTTAAGCTAAAGTTGTTGAATACTTAAATATCTTGAGGCCCATTAAAAAGCACTTAAGTAAAGTTATGAAATAGCCCGAGATGATCAGAGGAACTGAAATTTTATTTTCCTGCTGAAGAATATTAGAAACGTTTAGAAGAGAAGCTTCTTATTAACCTTATTAATGAGAGATAAAGCAAAGCGGATTTTCAGTGCCCAGGATAAAGCTCCACTGAATATTTGGGCTCGGTCTGTTGCAAGTATTTTCTTTCCAGAGAGAGAGAGGCAAAAAAAATAAAGAAGCTGAGAGAGTAAGCATAGGATTTGCTTTGAGGGACCACAGAAAAAAAGGACAGCAGATGTATTCCATGCATTTTGTATTTTCAGGGGTGAAAAATTGATTCAAGGGCAAGTTCTGATTGGAGAAAGTGTAAAAGGAGATGTTGGGATAGCATTATATAATATTGCATCAGTTTTAATGGTGTTATAAGTAAAATTTTAATTCTGCTATTTTATAATTTTTTGTTCAAGTATTTATAATTTGATAATTAATTTGTGAAGCAAATTAGTCAGATTCTCACTTCTCTGGCAGTGTATCTACAGGAATAAATGTAAACATCTGGTCCCAGTTATTTTCAGTTCTCTTATCCAATAGTGTATTTTTCATTACTTGGGAAAGGAAGCTGTCTGTATATGCTTAGGACTGATTGCTTGGGAGTATAAAGTTAAACATGGACTTGTAAAGATTGCTGTTTGCCTTGGAAGAAAATCAATAAATTTGCTGGGTATTTTTTGTGTAATCAAATTTAAAGTTCTTTGACTTTCAGCCTGGTTCCTGTCCTAAAGGCTGGATATAACCTGATGTTCATTAATCTTCAGAGCTAAATATTTGAGGTGTTGGTGGTGTAGACTTCAGTCATGATATTTGGATGCAGGCCATTAGTAACTGCCAGTAAGGGAAACAAAACAATAGTAAGTGAGTAGCTTGCTACAGACACAAATGGAATGTTCTCCTTGGAGCAAACATGATTTTAATGGCATTTCTTCACAGAATGAGATTTTTAACCTCTTCCCTAAAATACTCTGCCTGTAAAATAAGTTCTGAAGCATTCACTGATTATTGTAGGAGTATTCAGATTTTGATACTGTTCAATTAGTTGTGCGATCCCCCTAGTTTGTCTTTCCTCAAAGGACTGATAATAAGTCATTTTATTACTTTAGTTACTCATTATTTTACTTTAGTTACTCATTTATTACTTTTTTTTTTCATATAGCTCTTTAATGTGCTGGTGTCACTATACAGACACTGAAAATACAATAACATAACACATTTTTCTTGCTTTAAATCCAGAATTACTTGCTGTCCAGGTAAGCACAGGCTTTGTGATAGAATCTGTCTTAAGAAATGTGAGTTTTAAAAAATTCGTTTCTTACTATGCTTTCAATGCATTTTCAGAAGTAATATCAGTCATTAGAAATGTTTGCAATGTTCTGCGTATCAGAGGGTAAGATTTATAATCATAGTTTATGATAGATTATATTACTGTGCTTTCTGCTGAAGTTAATTGTGAACTTGAGGTTTACACTGTTGTATCTTGCAGAAGAAACAGCTGGAGTCCCCTGAAAAGCACAATGTCTAGTATTTTTTGTACAGATTCTTACTTCATTGCAATATTTGAGTGCTTTCTGTTTTGTGCTAAATGCTTGCACCTATCATGCATGAAGTGATATGCACCTTAAATATATGCATCCCAAAATTTAAGGTAACTTATATGAATAAAAAGAGCAGTCTGGGAGAAAACAAGGAGTTTGTACTTGTAAGAGCTCTTTGCTTCAAATATGCTACAACAAAACCAGATAAATTTCTATACTATTCAAATCATAGCACAACCAGACATCTGAAATTAGGGTAGCTGTCAGTTGGAGTGCTTGGGAACATTTCTGGATACATTTAAATAACTGTTTGAGAAAGCGTGTAAGTATAAAAGTAGAGTCCAATGAATAAAACTTTCACAATTAGTTACAAATGCCACGCCAGATCCTGGATCTCCCCTGGATGAGAGCTGTAAAATGTGTGAAAATTATGCCATTATTCTCAAGGCAGTGGTGACTTTGAATTAGTCATCAGATTTATATTCTGCTAGCACAAAAAGATCAACAAAATTGGAGGTAATACTTTATTTGAAATCTTTACAGGCTGAAAAGATCAAAGCCAGGCAGAACTGGTGAGAGAAAGGGAGCAAGTGCAAAGCAATGTTGGGAATCTCAGAGCTGATTCCCACAACATACACCTAATCCAGAAACCCAGTTTTGTCTGTGTATGTGTTTTTTAGATTGCAAGCCTTATGAAACCTCAATAAGGAATTCCTTCAGTTTTTTCTAAAATAGCTTAGACATTTCAAAAATCTGCTATATTCTACAAATTAATGAAGGATTTATAATTGTTCTGTCCTAATCCAGCTCTATCTTGATTAGAAGGAATGTTAAGTCTGATTGCTTTCAAACAGAGCAATGTTATGCCAGAGTTGATCACTTCTGATCACTTTGCACCTACCCCAAAAATACTAATTAATTGCACCTGATTTTTTAGGAAAGGTGTAATTGTTTTATCTGCAATCATGGATAAAATACGGTCTATTTCATATGTTGGAATTTGATAGAGTCTTTTCTGGTTGAAAGACCTACTGAATGGGGGACTTATAAATGTAATTAATTTGTTAGGGAAAAAAGCCATCACAGAATTCTTGCAGATGTTAACAATAATAGTTGAGACTCAGGAATAGGATTTTTCCTGTCACTTTGCTATCGTATTGAAATTGAAGTTTTTAATCAAGGCATTGCAGAAATTGATGGAAAGGTTCTGGTTGTGTTTAAGTGCTGTGCTCAATTACAGAATGGCTGGATTGGAAGGAACATGTGAAGATCACCTGGTCCAATTGCCCTGCTAAAGCGGTTGCACCTGATACAAGTTGCACAGGGTAGCTTTGAGTTATGAAGCTTAACAATTAATTACTGAATATATTTACTGAACAACAACTGGTTCATTACATCTTTTGGTTTTGGAACATAAAAAGTCTAAGCTGTTTATTTTCTTGTTCTTAGTCAAGAAGTTCTTACTAAGAATCCATTCTTACTGAGAAATTGTTGATTTTGTATTTTGAATTGTTTATGGCAAGTGCTTTTTAATTGAAAACTGTAATGTATAAATAATTGAGAGAAACTCAGCATAAATTCATGAGTATCTATGCAGAGGAAATATGCACATTTAAGCAGAATTTCCCCAATTGGTTTGCCTTCAGGCAGAAATAATTTATATTCAGATTTAAAAAAGAGAATGTTAATATTGCAAAATGAAGTACTAAAAGGGTTTAAAAAGGCAAAAGTTAAAATTGCTTGTGAAATTTCATATGCTTTTGTGTGCACATAATTTGTAACTTTATTTT